ACTTTGGGTGGTTGGTGGTATGCATGCGGAGGTGGTCGTTGACGATCAACTCACGACACCACCACCCACACGCTACATAAACAAACAACATCCGTCCTGTGCACTTTGGGTGGTTGGTGGTATGCATGCGGACGTGGTCGTTGACGATCAACTCACGACACCACCACCCACACGCTACATAAACAAACAACATCCGTCCCGTGCACTTTGGGTGGTTGGTGGTATGCATGCGGACGTGGTCGTTGACACAAAAGCGAGACTTTTTCCAACTAGTGCCGTTGTGAATGCAATGTGAAGATAAACGAATCATATCGTATGGCTCTGTTGTATACTACAGTCAGTGATTATGTAGCTAAGTAAATGCTTACCTCGTTGATTGTACTGCAAAGCCAAATCGGGGGTTGCCAAACCAGACATTGTCTCGTACAGCTCCCTACAAGATGTACGTAGCAAATGTGCGCAAACATTTTCTCATCAATGCGTTGTTTATCTATTGAGAGAGAAAAAAAGCTTCACACGGGAGTAAAGCTCTAAAACTGGAGTGATAGGGACCACGAGTAAATGAAGAGGCTGGCTACGACGAGCGACTGTAGTAGGTCTATAGCAAGCTAAAGGTAGCAACACTAAGCAGCCTCGGAAATAAATAAATCACACGGTGGCCCAGTTGAATGCCGGAGTCAAAGAAGCCACAGTACAGTATCCTACCTCGGGCAAATCAACGGTAAAGTGGAAGCCCGCCAGCGTCGACCGTATCTGCGGGAAGCTCTGACCAAACGGTAGATCATATTTGCACGATAACTCGTCAAAGAGAAGATTCCAGTCCCACGAATTCTGTTAAGATATGTGGAGCTGTCTCACTTGAGTAGACTATAGTAGAAAGTATCGCGAATAGAGTTTGAGCCAATCAAAAAGCATACTACAATTCCTTACCCCGCCGCAACTGACGCCAGGCCAAACCGAGTAGACAACAGTGAAAAGTTAATCCAGCTAGAAGTTTGAACTTCACTCGAAAACGAACGGCATATCTGACGAAAGGCCTCTTCGTACAACAACCAATTAGAATGCCCCAGGCGGACCAGCCCAGTAACCACCCAGGTTAAAACGTCTAACAATGCGGATGACAAAACACCACTAATCAAAGAAAACTATACCACACAAGCATGACAAACCCACAGTCAAAAACTATGAACGGACAGGCCAACATGTGGAGAGGGACTCACCGAGACCCGCGTGCCCATAGGTATCTTGACTACTATCTTATCTGGGTAAGTGGCTATTGTATTCATTGTCGACGTATAGTCTCTATGGTATCTATGATAGAAGGCACTTGAATCTTCCAACTCCTCGTCACAGTTGCTGTCGCTATCACTGCTACTACTGCTGCTGCTGCCGTCCATTTCCTGATATGGGTTCATATACGTGCGTGTATGCAAGCATGATCACAGCTGAGTATGAAGACAGAGAAGCAAAACACATATAACCGCTCGACACCAATAAAATGTTAGCATGACGAGTAGAATACAAAAAAGCAAGTAATATGAAGGAGAACCGAGGACTTGGTATATACAGAGCTGAATTGTTAGCGATTAACAAAAACGCTTGGTTCTACTAATGTTTAGTTTTGATCCTAAGCTCTGACAAAACACACACAC